TATACTCTGAAACAGTAGCCACGGCTACCAGCAGCAGGCAGCTCTTCAAGTCCCAGTTAGGCTCACAGGACACCCACCAACTAAGACAAAGCAATGAGCTCAAAATCAACAATAAATAAAGAGGAGGCAGCAAGCCACAAGAACAAGAGTTAGCAGGACTAACAACTATCTGCATATATTGGAATCGTGTTAGCAAAGGAATTGCAGACTACATATGAAACAAATAAAAAAATAGAATCATGAAAGACTGTTAGGACTGAAAATAAAACAAGAGAATATCAAAAATAAAAAGATGTCATTTAAAATTTAAACTTTTGGAAATTAGAAATTTGATTGCTTGAAAATTTTTAAAAATCAATTAATGGTTTCAACAGCAAATTAGAAATAGTAAAGGAAAAAATAAGTACACTGGAAATATATCCAAAAAATTTAACTAGAATATTAAGAATAAAGGATATAAAAAATAAAAGGCGTTTAGAGATGCAGAAGATAAAAATAGAAAAATTAAAATACATCTATCTAGAATTCCAGGAAGAGGGAACAGAGAGAATAGAATAGATGTAACAGAGAGATAATGGCTAAAATCTTCCAGAGTAATGGAAATAATTCCACAGATCCAGGAAGCAAAATGAATTTCCACCAGGATGAATAAAGAGAAATCCACATTTAGATACATTCTAGTGGGTTTTAAGAACACTAAAAACAAAATACCTTTATAGAATTCCAAAGGAAGGGCAGATCATTTACAAAAAATGATACTTAGATCAGAGCAGATTTTTTCATAGTTATCAATGGAAGTCAGGAGACAATAAAAGATAACCCTCAATGTATTAACAGAAAATAGCAACCTTGAGCTGTATACCCTACAAAACTACCTCAAAAGCAAGAGTAAAATATATTTGTAATTAAATAAAAACTGGAAGTTTATTACCAAGATGACTGTACTAAAGGAACTTCTAAAGATATAATTCAGTTAGTACTAAAATTATCCCAAAAGGATAGGCTAAGAGCACAAAACACAGAAGGAACCAAGTAAAAGCCTGTATATAAATTCACATTATCTGTATAAAATAACAAAAAATAATTATGAGGGCAAAATAGTAGCATCTGAAATTATGTCATATTTGAAAAATTAACTGTTACCAAGAATGTGGTAAAATTGTATACTATATGAAGACACATCACCACTTAACCCTGTTAATCGGCAGATTCAGGCCAAAATCTTCAACTTTCATGAAAACTCACCTTTTGTCCCAGTAATCCTTGATTTCCGGGAAATCCTGGGATTCCCTAAAAAGAAAGAAAGGAGATTTTTAATTTAAAAAATTGTAGATGGTATCATTAGAGAATCATAGGTCATAACTGGATTTTTGGTAATGTTTTTTAAAAAGGCTTTCTAGAAGAGAAAATATGAAGATATTAACCTTAGTTCTTCTTTCAGACCAACAAAAGTGATAAAACAAGGATATTTCGTTTGAACATATTTATGTAACTTACAATCAATAATGCAAGAAAACCTGTCAAATAATAGGGGCTCAGCTTCAGTACAACAGTTCCAAAGGCCTTCACCATCTCACAACCATAATTAAAAACTAATGAAACCAATCACCAATCAATTCCTCCAAACTGAATTCTGAACACCCAAGAATCTAACCTCTGGTGGAAGATATGGCAATTTTCTCCCAATGATCCCTTGCTGACAAAATCGGGAAGAATATGAACACCACGGTTTGTGGAGAGACAAAAGGAGTCTGAATCGCTAGGTAAGATTCAGAGAAAATTAATGTTAATTTATAAATTTGAGAATAACAGTAGCACTTTCATTCATGGGAAAGCAGACCTATTATCAGTGATTCAATGCAATTATCAAAATGATCACTAATCACCCAAAACAAACAGTGCTGGTATAATTAATTTTCACTTATTCATTTTTCTTAGCTCTTTTCTTGATGACACTTCAGTTTAAATAGTTAACATCATTTGTTTTTGTACATTTGTATTGGCTCTGGCAGAAAAGGAAACTAGAAAGACAAGGAAATGAGGCCCTATCAGTGTTTCTTTGAAAGCCCTCTGCATTCTCAGGGCTTTCAAAGGGCAGCAGTGCCTCTCAGGAAACCAGGGCCAGGGGGAGAGAGGCCATTGCCGACGAGATCAGCACCTTCTGTTCTGGGGGGTCTCCACTGTTTTGATTTCCACATTTTGACTTTATTAATACAATACCGATCAATGTGTTAGTCACAATTATAGTGCAGGATACACATAGTTCCAGTTTTAAATTCTAAACTTGAAACATAAAGTGGAAGTCAATTTGATTCTATTTGGCTCAACTTGGTTTTCCACGGGGTTACAATCTTTGGAGAGAACAAAAGTTGTGAGCGATGACTTAACAAGGGGCTCAGTCGAGTTAAAAACACATAACCATACTAGAGCATAATATAAAACAACATAAAATTTTAAAGTATTATAAAACAAGTACAGTATACCCTATAAACTCTAAAACATAAAGCAGAAGTAATTGAATTATGAGTATAATAGAGTGATATGAACTGAAGCAGAAAATGCATATTCACAGTGTAGTCAATTAAGATCAAGTTGTTAAAATAAAGGTCTCCATTTCAATAGTTGGCATGAAACTACCTGTAACCAACTCTCATTCAAATACACACACACACACCAACTCACTAAACGTTTAGATTAAGTTCTAAATTTAAATCAAGTATCTGTCTATAAAATATTATCAGATGTAAACCGGCCATACATTGTTCTAAGCTGAAACTGGTGTACCTATGTGAATGCAGTGTCTCTTGGCCCCAGGAATTCCTAAAGGAGTCATGCAATTGCTCATGATGCTGTCAGACCTGAGAAGCAGAATTTCTTGCCGCACACAGTCTTTTATTACTCAGGGTTCTGTCACTCCGCAAGTCCCTATGCCAATTCACAACCTGCGATATTTGTAGGAATTAGAGATACCTGACTCTAGTCCTGTTTCTGGAGCCAATCGCCCTAGCAACAAGGCTATATTCTCACTCTGGGGAAAAAACAGAATTATCCCCAGGCATCCCTGAGCAGCACACTGCCTCGACCCCCCCAGGAATCCTTGAGGGCCCTGACCGTTCATTCCCTGGACTGCATTCAACACCCTTTCATCTGAATAATTCTAAGATTGAGCTTGAATAACACAGGATTGAAAACACTGTGGGGTTCAACTGCAAATACATTTGATCCTTTTGGGCATACCTTTCTGAGAGAATAGTGACGATATTTAAAATATTCAAAAAGCAAAAATCTTTGTAGCATTTTTCTATAATCCAGGTCAGCCAAAGGTGAAAATCTTTGGACATAGCCACAAATCTTACATTATTTCAACATATCAGATATTGAGAGTACTTTGAGGGGATTCTGTATTAGGAAAAAAGAACCCTTTTCCTATTGTCTCTGTCTTAAGGTAGTAAAATGTTAAAATACATTTCATTGATATGAAAAGGAATCATAAGATTTTTTATGTCCAATTATACCAAGAATTATTAGGTATTTTACAAATACCAAGCAAAAAATATATAAAGCTATATAATACTAAAAAACAAAAAGGAAAACTGACTTACAAAACCAATTATTGGCAAAAGTAGCATAATACCATGAGCTTGCATGGGATAAAATTCCCATAAATTCAGAGCTATATTAGTCTATAAAATTCCCCCAGATCATATTTTCCTGGGCTCTTGTTTATTGTAATGTGCTAACCTTTTGTCGATTTTACATCAGCAGAATTATTCAATGCCATTTGAAATTTACCAGTTTCTTGATCAAAAAGTATTCAGTAACAATTACTTCATAGAGCAAATGTTTTTCCAAGCATACTGTTTTATATTTCGTTTTCAGCCTGTGTGGTTTTGGGTTCAGGCAACTGAAAATGTGTAAGTAAAGAGACAAGTATTTTATTTGGTAAGAGTAAAGGGATATATTTCTTCCACTTTTGTGATTTCAGTTTGGACTTGAGGAAGAGCAGAAAGTCAATTGGAAAAGCCTGCATACTGCTGTGGTGAAAGAATGTTGACATGAAAAAATGTTTCAGAAGCTTCTCTATAACCATTAAACAATTGCTATGCAACAAAAATGTCATTAAGAATAAAAATACAAAACTTACAATAAAGGGTTTGACCCCTACTTCCTAAAGAGCACTTTTCAATGAAGGAAATATATACATTATACATGACTTAGAAAATAAAAATTATCACTTTATACTTTCCCATATGCAATGAATGCACTTCCCTTGGTCCTCAAATTAGAGCATCTTGGATCAAATCTGCTTTTAAGTAATGTAATATTTTAAATGTACTAAAAGCAAATCTAATCCATTAATGATGCTTTAAAATAAAAATGTTCAACTTTTCCACATAGTGGTAGAGAGATCTGACAGCATACAGGTACTAAAATATTAAAAGCACATTGTTTTTCTTCTATTATATCAAGAAGTGATTTATTCATTCCTAAATATTCAATGAAGAAAAACACATATGCTGTAAGTATAATTCTTACTAGCTACAAAGATTACAATGATTATGGACTCAGCTGATCAGCTCCAGGCTGATGAGTTTTTAAAATGTGGAATTTCAGTATCCCCATTTTATACACGGGACAGATAATCAAACCTACCTCCTAGGATTGGTACATTATCAATTAATTCTCAAAAGTGTTTAGCTCAGTGCAGATACTCTAATGAACAAATTTTCACCACTGTCTTCACAGCTCCTCCTTGACTGTGGAACACTGTGAAGTACGTAAGTCAATTCTCTTCCATGTCTCAAAATTTGTCCTCTTTCTCCATTTTGAGGATATCTTTTTTTGTCTTTCCACCTCGCCTTTCTCTACCCTGATCTCCAAATGTTTCCACTGTATCCAATATAACTCTGGCAATCTAAGGCTTCCCGTTAGCGGGGTGCCAGCAAGTGTGCATTGCTCCTCATTTATGACCTTTGCCTTTTCACCTTTGGCTGACCTGGATTAAAGAAAAATGCTACAATGATTTTTGCTTTTTTGAACATTTTAAATATTGTCACTATTCTTTCAGAAAGGTATGCCCAAAAGGATCAAATGTATTTGCAGCTGAACCCCACAGTGTTTTTCAATCCTGTTTTAAAAATTCCACACTAACCGGCAGACCATTATGAAACACAAAAGATTACTTGGTGGTAAAGTAACTCCAAAGAGAAGTAACTCACAATCATAAGCTGCCAGACCTGAAAGAAACCAATACAGAAGTACTTACACTAAACCCTTAATAAGGAAATTACCAGTTTTACTACTCCCTTATATCTTTAAGGGGGAAAAAAAATAACCTAAGTAACATTAGACGAATATATTCTCCCTAGCCTACAGACCAGGACCCACATGGAACTGGACCCAAATTACTCAAAGACACATAATTTCAGTAGAAAAGGCTTTGGTAAATATTTCTGGGCTACTCATATTTACATACAACAGAAAATGTCACAGTTTGACATAATAAGTTGCAGAGACCAGGGATATCTTGAGAAGGAAAAGCTATCTGGGGACTCTTGCAAATTGCTGCATTTTATTGGCATCTCTTCAGTACCTAAAAGCATCTTAACATTTTTCAAAGGACAAGAAGATATTCTAAACAATTTTACTATTGTAAGAGTATCATTTTTTCAGGATAAAACAAAAAGACAAATGTTTAGCAAATTACAATAACATACCTAAAAACCCAGAGGACGAGAAGGAGGGCGGGATTAAGAGACCCAGGCTCAGTTTCCGCAGTACCACATCCTGGGAAAGTCATGTAACCACCCTGAATCCCCAAATCTAGAAAAATAACCTGCCCCTTTACATCAGCGAGTAAAGTGAGGATCATGCACGTGAAATATATTATTGAGTTAAAAGGAACATAAAGATATACACATATGTAAACCTGGAAACTGATTGCATTTGAAAAACAAATTTCCAAATAATACCAGAGTTGTTCTAAAATGAGCTCTGATCTTCTGAAAACCTAAAAAATGTATACCATACTTTTTGGGTACATGGAATGTCACTGTGTAACTCAAAACAAACTGGTGAATTTCTCATTAAGAAGAAAACTGAAACTGGGTTTTTCAAAGACCTTCATAGCTGATTCATTGCTGAACAGAATTTAGGCACCATTTTACAGAGAAATCTGAAAACTGTATTCTTGAAATTTTATATATGATAGAAGTCACCAAACAAAAATATTTTAAAACACCAAATCAAACTGAAGCTAGTTTCATGAAGAAAACAAATTAATTTTTAAC